AGAGCCAGCACAACAGGGACAGTTTCCCAGGTGAGGCTGCATGTGGCCTTCTGAGCACCAAAGTGATCATCCTAACCTGGTGCTGGTTCTGTAGATATTACACACCGGGCAGGGACAGGGAGGAAGAAAGGGAGAAGAGTTGGGACATCACATGATCCCACCACACTGAAAATCCTCCCATTTTCCACAGCTCTCTGTGCACTTCTAGAAATACACACACAATAGAACACACATTATCAGAAACTCTGTCACAGTGGTGGTTGTGAAAGAACCAAAACCTCCTTCGAGGCCAACCCACTTCATATAGTCCTTTAACTTCATTTCCAAACATACATATGTGTTATTACAAAGAAACTACATACAAATAAAAATTCAAAGAACATAGAAATGAATAAAAGGGAAGACAAAGGCCTCTGTACTTGAGGTAAGCTCTCGGGATGGGGGAAGGGTCAGAATGGGGAGCTCCACACATTAATTAGTAGGTAATAAAACCAGTTATTTTACCATATGGCGCTGCTGATCCAGCACCTATTTGGCCCTGCTTTAGCTCTAGCATCCTCTCATCCTTCCCCCTCAGAATCTACCCCAATTTCCTGTCACCATCTCACCCCGTAATTTAAGGGTACAATTCTTCAAGTGCCTTCCTTCTGATTCTAGATTTTTAAAAACTCAAGTCTTTAATGTTGGGGAAATCATGGCTTCTAATTCTTTTCTTTGCAAACAAGCATAAGTTGGGCCCAAAAGTGGCATGGGCTTTCCCCAGCTTGTGTGGCAACCTGGAGCTATTTGACACTTGTTTCCTTGGGAAAATTCTGGTTTTTGCAGGAACATTTGTGGGACCTTTACTTGTCTGTGCACATGTGTGGGGGGGGGGCTTTGTCACCTCAAACTCTGCTACCAAGAAGAGCTTGCTCCTTGTCCTGCTGCCCTGTCACTAGCAAGCTTCAAGAGCAGGGGCTCTGGGGCCCCTGGGCATGTGGCTCCAGAACAGATGCTCACTGCAAATGAGCAACTAGCAGGTAAAGTGCTACCACTGGGCCGGGCACATAGTAAGTACTGGGTAGCAGAAGAGCTGGGGGACATGTTGGGAAAGGCTCCATTCCAGTTCTTGGGGCAACAAACCCCTTCGGAGCTTGTGAAAACCACAGGTCCTGTTCCTAGAAAAGTGCATAAGTAGGTTTCCTCCAGACACATGGCCTAGAAGCCCACACACACCCTGCAAGGGTCAAGGACCCTTGGTCTCAGGCTTCTCTGCAGTGACATGAGGGCTGCAGGGACAGGCCTTGCAGGCCTTGGAGGCAATTCTTACAGTATCACATTCCCAGGAACACAGAACTACTGAGCAGGTTCCTCTCCCCTCGGTTTAGGTTCCGCTTTTGGCAGAAACATTACACTTCTCTTCACTAAAGCCCTTCTGACCCTTGCCAGTTTTTCTCTTGCTTCAGGCCAAATCCTCCGAGTCCCCTGAAGACAACCTTGGTGTGAAAAAGCTCCTCATAGCTGCAAAGGATTCTGATCCTTCTCCAGAGCCCTGGTCACTGATGTCAGACCAGAGCCTGCAGGCCCCCATGGAGGTCACAGTGTCACAGGGGTGGACACTGGGGAAGCCCAGGGCCTTGCCCTCAGCAGACCAGAGACAGCATAGAGATCATGAGAGAGGAAGTGTGAGATTACCTACTTCCCTATTACCTGCCTAAGGACATCTGAACCCTGCCTCAGAGCTGAGAACTTCCTGGTCAGTCCTTGATTCCATCAGATGTCATTCTGCACAGGAATCTCATGAAATACAGGTTCCGCAAGTCCCACTGAGGGCCTGAGATCCTGCACCTCCACCATGCTGCCAGGCCAGGACCACAAAGAGAAGAGTAAAGCTTGCACCAGGTTGGTGCACAGTTCCCCTGGGGTACAACTTCTGCCCCTTCCCCTCCAGGCAGCTGATTCAATGCCCTTTCTTCAGGACAGCTCCCTTCCCCCCTCATCCCTGATTATGGCTCCTGTGCCTCTGAACTTTTTCCTTTGAAGCATTTATAACAACTGTAATTAAAGAGTATTTGTGTAATTATTAGTTTAATGTCTGCCTCCCAGGGAGACTACAATTGCACTGAGGACCGGCCAGCACAGCAACTAGAAAATCCAGGCTGCCCAGGGTCTGCCGCTGCTGTGGTCTGAAGTAGGTGGGGCCAGTTCTGAGGAAGAAGGGAAAATCTGCACCAGGCAAGGGCCGGGGATTTAGCTCAGTGGTTTCGCCGCCTGCCTTGCACGTGTGAGGACCCGAGGACCTGAGTTCGATCACTCACCGATACCAAAACAAACAAACAAACAAACAAGATCTGCACCAGGCGAACATCCAGAGACCTCAGGGCCAAGCACAACACTACTCTGCTTTAACACTGCACCAGTTCCAAATACATGTCACCTGGGCTGGGTGTGGCTCAGGGGCAGACAACATGCTTTGCACATATGTGGAAACTTCAGGTTGGAAAGTAACCTTTCCAATTAAAAAAAAAAAGGTATCCTAAAGCTTTATCAAGTATAAAAGAGTCCTGATTGGGAATACCACTCTCTCTGTTGGAGAACAACTAGGCCCTGGGAAATAAGCCTTCCCTTCTGTCCTCCCTGGGTGAACCAACTTTAGGCACTGTGAGGGCGCTGGCAGAGGAAGCCACTCGTGCGCTCCCTGACCTGGGTCACTGTGCTAAACACTGACAAATCTTCCAGCTTTTCTTCTGCCACCCTATCTGGACACCCAGCGCTCAGAAGGCCTGGTTCCTCGGCATGGGCAGAGATGTCTGGCAGTATCATCACCCTAGGGAGGCAAAGTCTGAAGCCAGTCCCTGGATTTGGACACAAGCTCTGTTGCCTTGGACAAGGTGATGACTCCTCTGTGCTGTTTCCCGGGCTACCAAGTGAGGATAACCCTGTGTCTCCTCTAGGAGGACTAAGGGAGAGGCTACCTACAAAGCATATACATAATCCAGTCCCAGGATACATGACAATCATTATTCTCAAATGAGTCTAATTCCAAACCTCTCCATTGTTTTGCATGAGTCTCCACCCAGCAGCTCCATCCAGGCAGGATCTACTCTTCCCAGCCCCCTCCTGCCTCACCTGTCTGGAGCTAGTTTGAAACAATGAATCATAGCACAACTCTGCAGCTCCCATCAATTACCTCCCTGTCCCTGCCTGTGTCATACCCAGGCTCTTTCTAGGAGGGAAATCCTTTTCCTAATGTCCAGGGCGTTCATTTAACAAGTATTTATGAATGGTCCACTAGGGACCAGTTCTACGGGGGCTCAGCAATGGACAAAGCAAAACAAGCACAAAGCAAGATGGTAGAAGAAATCCACATTGCCAAACCTCTAGCCACACAGACTGACTTTCTAGCAGTTCTAATCCATGGATGGAGATCTGTCTGGGTCTCTGGCCCTTCCTTATGTCCCCATTCTTCCCCTCTGGCCACACATAAGTACAAAGCATGAATAAAGTATTCCAGATCAAAAAATGGTAATTTGGGAACATCCTGATGACTAAAGTTCCACCCTGCTGAACTGCCGGACTTTGAAGAAGTCAGTATTAAAATAGCCAGAAGCACCCAGTTTCCCCAAGTCACACTGGCCTGTCACATCCTCCAGGTCAGTGTGAGTGCCTTGCCTGGAAAATAACTCGGTTTACCAGGCTCCTGGGCTCCTGCAGGTAGCACAAGACCAGGATTTCATGTTCTCAGAGCTACTTCTCTGAACAGAGCTTGACTGGGAAGCTCTAGCAGTCACAGAGGCAGTAGCGGTGTAGAAGGAGATTCTGGAAGCTCAGGTTTGAACGATGGCGTGATCCAGGACAGGAAGCATTCTTCCTACTTCTGTTTCTTTTAAATAATCTCTAAGGTCCCTTTTCCAGCTTTGAAGTCAAAGGGCTGGATCAACCACCATTAACTGAGACCCTGCAGATTCAGGGTTTTTGTTGTTGTTGTTGTTGTTGTTTGAGACAGGGTCTCACTGTATAGTTCAGGCTGGCCTTGAGCTCACTATGTACCCCAGGCTGGCCTCAAACTCACAGCAACCCTCCTGCCTCACCTTCCCCAGTGCAGATCCAGGTTCCTTAATTCTAAAAACTGAGCCCCAGCCTAGGCCAGCCCCTGGTCATACATGCAGGATCCTGGGTGACTGAGTTATATGAGGAGCTTACACTCAGCATCATTACTGTTGGGGGCAGTGAGTCTGAGATGCAATGGCCTCTTCCTTTTATCTATTGCCTCCCATCTAGAAATAAGTTGTATGTCTTCCCAAGCGCAACCTTGCTCAAAATATCTCCAGGCCACAAGGCAAACTTAAAACAGAAGTGGTGCAAAATCTCTGGTGGTCCCCAGTCTGCCGTCCTCAAACCTGAGAGTCAAGTATTCTAGACCTTAACCGTCCAGAGACAGCTCTGGATAGCGAGCAGGAAATAAACCTCCCTGGTAGGAAACACCTGGACGGGGGTGGAAGTGACCTAAGTAAGCACAGAACTGGCACACGAGTGGTCCCAAGACCCAAAACTCACTTCCCACATAGGTGAGAGGAAGAAAACACCATTCCTAGTGCCTATTTTCCTGCCCCAAAAGGGAGTAGCTCTATCCCAGCCTGAGAGCCAGCTCTGTGTGGGTGTTGGAATTTCCAGCTATAGGTGACCAAGTGAAGATTCTGCTCCAAGCCCAGCAGGTGCCTGGTAAGGGCCATGCATGGCTGGAGGAGCAGCTACAAAAGCATCAGGAAAGCGCTAGAAAACAATATTCACCTTAAAACAAATGAGAGCAGTGGCTATGTTAGGTCTCAAAACTCAAAACCAGGCAGGTCCATCATCCTTGACTAATATCTAAGGTTTCTAATATCTAAGGAAGTTAAGGACTGGCTTCTCCTCCCATGTCAGCCCCCACAGCCAAGACGAAACTCAAGGTGCTACACACACACACACACACACCTGGGAATTCCACCTGGCAGAAAGGAACTTTGACCATTTTTACTTACACATGTACAAAGGCAGGACTGACAAAGCAGCTTCAAAGCTGGCTAGGTGACCCCCAGAGCACCAAGTCTTTCTCTGCACACCTGCGGGGAGTTCTGTGAGTTTCCCAGGTATCCACGGAGACTGGCGATGTCCTCTCCCGGTGGACATCAGCAAGCAGTTTGCATTGTGAACAGAAATATAGACGCACAGCGTGCCCTTGGCGTGCAGGGCACTCGACCTGCAGCTCACGGGTGGGCCACAAGGATGTCCCCTGGCCGGCACCCCTGTCTCTGACCCGGAAGGTCCTCCCGTGAAAACAAACCCTGATACTGCTACATAGCACCGAGACATCTCGCAGTGAGCAAAGATACATTAATGACAGTCTCGGGTAGGTTAAAACCCACACAAGCACCTCCTGGCCTCTTAAATCTTCCCAAACTACAGTTCAGACTGGAGGGAAGCAGTTGCAGGAACCATAAAAGTCATCTTAAAGGCAAGTCCAAAACAAAATTACCCCGATATGCACTAGTTAGCAAGTCCGCGGCCAGGGGGGCGGTGGCGGAGAGAGGGGCCGGTTCTGTGGGATCTGCGCGCCTGGGTTGGGGAGGTCCCTGGGCCACAGCACCCACCTGGCACCATGGGGGCCCCCCGATCTGACGCCACGATTACGCCTTACAGCTCCATCCAATTAAGAAAATGACCGCGAGGAAACAGAAACCCGGCGATCAGGAGGGGGGCCTGGGCCCCAGGAGGCCAAAGAGTGGCTGTGGGGACCCCGCCTGCCACCACCCCCCCCCCCCCAGCCCGCAAGCGCTTTCAACAGGTCCCCGCCCCTGACACGGGGACACCGGGGATAGCGCGGCGCCTGCTGGCGGCTGTCCCGGGGCTGGGGTGGGGGTGCCTCCCAGTCACCCCGATGGGAGCGTCCGGCCCCCACCCACCCAGCGGAGACACGCAGCTCCCTCAGCCGCGCGGAGAGTAAAGTTTGTGGGCAGCCGCAGGGGCGGAGCGGCGAGGGGGTGAAACTTTGAGTCCCGGGCCCGGTGCGGGGGGAGCGCGCCGCACGCCGGGACACCCACGTGCGGCCGGACCCGCCGCCGCCACCGCCGCCGCCGCCACCGCCGCGCGGGCCTCCCGCTCTGCCGCCGCCAACGCCGCCGCGGCGCTTTCATTTTTGCTTCTCTCTCTCCCTCTCTCATTCGCGCGCTCGCCCCGCTCTCCCTCCCCCCTTCCCTTCCCCCTCTTCCTCCTCTCTCTCGCTCGCTCCCCCACCTCCCCCCCCCACCCAGACGCCATCTCGCTCCCGCGTTCCCCGGCTCTGCCTCTCTCCCTCCGGCTCCCCGGCATGAGGGAATGTGCAAGGCGAAGGGAAAGACGACATGTTTGCAGTGCGGCGCGGGCCTGCGCGCCGTCGTCCCCGGGGAGAGCGAGGGGCGGGTCGGCCGGGCCGCAGCGGACCCCCCCCCAGCCCGCGTCCCCGCCGCCGCCGCCCGGGAGCCCGGTCGTGCGACACTCACCCTGGTCCGGGCGCGGCTCTGCGCGGGCCCCGGCGGGCCGGGCCGGGGTCCGGGGCGCCCACCGCGCCCCGCCGCCTCCACGCGCCGCCTCGCCGCTCCCTCGGCCGCTTTCTCCTCGCTCGCTCCTCGCCCGCGCGCCCGCTCGTCTCCCCCTCGCACGCTCCTCGCTCGCGCTCTCCCTCCCTGGAAGAAGGGAATGAGGCAGGGCTGACGTGAAGGGATGCAAAACAGCTCCTCCTAACCCGGCTCGCGGAGGAAGAGAGAGGCAGAAAAGCAGCCCTTTTATCTCTCTTTTGTTTTCTCACTTCCTTCCCCCCCCACACCCCCCTCTTGTCAGCCCAAGTTTCTTTTCTCTTTTTACCACAGAGAGGATTTTTTTCTTCCTTTCTTTCTCTTGCTCTCTATTCAACTCTCCTACTCGAATTGAAAGCCTGGAAGCCTCTCTCTCCCTCTCTCTCTCTCTCTCTCTCTCTCTCTCTCTATCTCTCCCTCTCCCCTTTGCCTCTCTCTCGTGTGTCTCTGCGCCTTCCTTCTTTTCTTCCTTCTTCCTCCTTTCTTATTTCTCCAAAAGGGTTTTGTTTGCTGAGGGAGTTTCGTTTGAAAATCAAGTCACGCCTTTTTTCCTTCTTTTCTACCCCCCTTCTTTTTATTATTTTTCTCTCCTCTCAGCAAAAAAGGGGAACAAAGATTAACAAGCTAGGGAAAAGGGAGCGTTGGAACCTCGCGTGGAAGTGGGGGGACCCACGGCCTGCCCGGCACAAAGGGGGCGCAGGGACCCCGCCCCCCCAGGACCCGCCGTCCCCCTAAAAGGGAGTATGGGGGTTGGGGCGCGGGTGGGGCTCCTGGGTGCCCGATCCCTGCGGGGTGCGGGCGGGGGTCCACAGCCGCCCCCGCCCCGCTAGAGGTGGCGCTGGGTGTGCGCTGCACTTCTCTGTTCTGAAGTAGGCAGATGGGCTCGGAGCCACTGCCCCCGCAGAGCGGAGGACAGCTTTTGGCAGCGCCCTGGACGGCCCGGACGGGGAGAGGCTCGGGGTGGCCCCCCGCGGGTCCCCAAGTCTTGCCCGGTCCGCTGCTGGGGTTAGGGGGGTGCCGAGGCGTGGCCATTTCCCGCGCGGGTCCCCGCAGGGCCGCCCCCTCCCCCGTTCCGGGGTAGGCCGGACACCTGGCCTCGGGCCCCCGGGACGCCCGGCGCTGTGGACTCCGACGCAAGGCCGGTCCGGAGGCGCCAGGAAGAGTCAATTATTCCTGGGGCGCCCGGGCGTGCTCCCAAGACCTGCTCCGTGCTCAGCTTCTCCGGAGGAGTGGGGAGAAGCCAGGGGAAAAGTTCCCAGAGCAAAGTTGGTCACATTTCTCATTTTCCCAAGTAAGGATTGAGCACCTGCTGGATGCCTGGGCCGGAGGCTGAGGCTGTAGCCTGAGCGGCGGCGGGGGGAGCGCGAGGTCCAGGTGACCCCCCCCTCCCCCAAGAGTTTCCGCTGGGAACAATGTCGAGCCAGGCCGGGCGCAAGATCAGGTCACTGAGGAGGAGGAGGAGGAGGAGGAAAGCCTGATCCTCTCCCCTCCCTCCTCTCTTCCTTCCCCTTCCCTTCCTTCCTCCCGGCTGCATCTCCTTGGCTCCGCCCCTCTCCTCATCAATTCCTCCCACACTTCCCTGCTAGCCCAGGCTTCTCACTGGAGGGTCCCTTCTCGCCGGGAGGAGCAGATGCGGAGCCCCATTGTCTCCCCCCCACCACCCCCACCCTCCGTGATTGCAGAGTCCCCGGGACAGGACCTGCCACTCCTTACCCCTCCCCCAGCCGGGAGGCCTGGGCCTTTGAGACTTCAGCCTAAGGCCACTGCCCCTCGCCCCACCCTGTACCGGCTTCGGTGCAGTGAGCAATGACTCCAGTCACTCAGACATGATTAATTTCTGACTAGGAGTGAAAAAACAGAAGTGGGAGTTTGGTTCAGCAAGAAGGACACCATGATTGTGGCAGCAGTGCACTGAGCCCCGATGGCCCAGAGCCTTGGCCCAGCATGCCCTCTTAATAGGGCACACAGGAAGCCACATTTTTGTCACTACCTGCCGGTCCTGATTTACCCTCCAAACAAAGCCAACTACAGCTCCCAGAGTCAAGCATTCATTCAGCAAACTCTTAAGCACTGTTCTGTGCTCACTACCTCGGTGCATGCCAAGGACCTAAGGCTCAGCACCTGACCCTTGCTGGGGCTGTGAGGACTGGCAGGGCAAGGAGCAAGGAAAAGACAGACAACCATAGTATCTACTTGGACTAGGGTGTTCAGGGAAGGGTTCCTGGAGGAGGCTACACCTACAAAAGAGCACAGTGGAGGGGACAGCCTGTCCAAAGCCTCTGGTCAAGGGACATTCTTACAGGTTCCTGAAAGTCAAGAGACCAAGTACTTGTTATGAGTGAGCAAGGAGGATGGTGTCCAGGCACACATGGGGGAATGGCAGGTGTCAGAAATGTTCACATTTAGCCTCTCCCACCTCCTAACCTTTAGAGTATGGGTGAAGGAGTTTGTCTCAGTGAATAATTTAGACTCAGTCACCTCACCTGGATAAAATGGGGCCAGAAGACCTGGGGGCTGCAGAGACAGTGGTTTATGTTTAAGTGCCCAAGCTGACTTGCTGCTGCTGTCCTTTGGAAAGAGGACCTCTCTGAATCTACATTTCCTCAGCTTCAAAAAGGGCATGAGAAGATCTGCTTCACAGACCCGTCCTGGGGCTTGGATAAGCCGTGCCCAGCATGGTGTTTGGTGCATGAGCACCAACGCATGGTCGCTCTCTTTACTATTACTATAATAAAGAAGTTGCCACCTGGAAGTAGGATTATGGGTAGAAGCCAGAGTGACTCACCAGGCCAGAAACACCACGAACCAGCTGTGGAGGAAGCATTCCTTCAGGAAAGCTGGATTGCAGAATTTGGGGAGAGTGTGGTGGCACACACCTGTGATCCTGGCAGTCTGAAAGCCTGAGGCAGAAGGAGCAAAGTTTGAGCCCAGCCTGGGCAATTTAGATCCTGTTTCAAAATTAAAACGGCGGGAGATGTAGCTCAGTTTGAGGGCCTTGGGTTCAATCCCCAGCACCTTTCCCCCACACCCCCACAAAATGTCCAGTGTCATCTCAGGAGCCAGGAAGAACTGTTGACTGATGACTGGAGTGTAGCCTGCCTGAGGAGTGAATAGGAAACTGGAAACGGTGGGCTGGTGAAACCCAGAAAGGGCCCAGGGAGCAGGTACCTGGCTGTGCTTGCTCAGGGAGAGAAGCCGGCAGGAAGCTCACTTGCGTGGTTGTGGGGATTATTGGCTTCTCCTGAGCCCTCAAATCTCTCAAAACTCTCTGATCCCTTATGTGGGGTCCTGGTTCTCCAAACAAGCTACAGATGAACTTGGCACCAGCTAAGTGCCCCCTGGACCCAGGCAGACACCAGTGTGCCAGTTCCTGTGTTATAAACGTTTTGCACCTTTATTATTTCTCCAAGATCATTGTGAAAGAATTTGAAAATCAACTAAGCAAAACTGAAAAAGAATCCCATTTAGCAACATTAGGTTTGGGTGTCTAACCTTGAACATTTTATATCACCATACCTATGTGTAAATGGACATAATAAAACTGAGAACTAAATATTGTTAAATACGTGACTATACATGTAAATGTGATTTTACAAAACTGAAATTGGCATCATACCTATCGAATTGTAACAACTTCCACCCAATAATGTCACAAATGCCTTTTCTGTCTATAAATATCCATATTATCCATATTGTTCTTAACAAATGATATTCCATGGTGTGTATGTATATTAATTTGTTTAAACATATTGTTGGACTTGTGAGATGTTTGCAGATTTTTGCTTTTATGAATTTGCTACGATGAACATTCTTGTACAGCCACCTTTGTGCCAGGCTAGGACTGCACTTTTTAGGAGGCTGGTGTCATCATTTTACAGATGAGAAAACTTAGGCCCAGAAAAGCTAAAAAATTGCCAGGCATGGTAGCATATGCCTGTAATCACAGCGCTTCAGAGGCTGAGGCAGGAAGAACTCTATGAGATCAAGGCCAGCCTGGGATCCACAAAGAGTTTAAAGCCAGTTTAAAC